TCCTATGATGAACGGTTTTCATGAGGTAAACTTGTATAATGGCAATCAATCAATCAATCATTGGCTTCGCCTCGACGCATGATTGACAAGATTTAGCAACACAAATGGATACCGCCTTCTCATGGAGTTCAGCAAGGCAAGCTTCCTATTCATCCTGGATTCGTAAAAGAACCGTGTCTGACACCCTCATAACGGATCTGAGTAAAAGCGAGTTGAGCTGAGGTGTGTGGACATCGTTGCTCTGAAGTTTAGCAACATATATCCAGTACATGTGATGGTTTAATGTGCATCTTAACTTTGTTCCTGTGTTCATTGTAATTAGAACATGAGTAATGTAATTGGACCATGCAACACCTCGTGTGCATAGAGCTGTTCTTCATCCTGCATGTACTTGCTTGCAACATCAACTACAACAGCATAAGCTAACATCTCACACACCTTGCAAGCGCTCGTTCTGCGCAAGCATTTCAGTTTCACTGCTAATCCAACACTTCCAAAAATGAATTAAAAAGAGAATAAAACTCTAAAAGTTAAGGTCATGGTACAAATTATTGACTGATTTTAGAAGGAAACTTGATCGCTTTCTTCCTATATCACAACGTCTCAAAATCAGACTAAGGTTAAAACCGCCGTGTAACGACAAGGACAGCTAATCCTAAGGTCTAAGGTCTGTGGCGCCCATAAGCCCCCTACTGAGTCAACTTCTGTTGTTCGCTATTTCGGGAGCAGCCGAGGGGGATGAAAGACGACATGACACAATGATGACATGACATGACATGACCGTCCGACATGACATGATTGTGAGGAATGCACTTCCTGCAGCCTGGCAGATTGACTCGGATGATGACTTGAAGATGCGGTCATGAGCCTGTGTGAGAAGACAGCAGACTTAGGCGCTACAGCCCGACAGGCACAGAATGGGCAGGAGGAGAAAAGAGAAGGAACAGCTGGGAGATTGAGGAAGACGCAGATATGTGCTGTTGAACGGAAGACTTCAGCGTAGTTGAGGGCTCATCCCACGAAATAGCTAGCGTGAAGTGAATCTTAAGCTGAAGAAGCCGCAGGACTGTGAGTTGAGATCGAGTGAGAGAGGTGGAGGAGAGGTGGAGGGCGAGGAGTACGACGTGACGGAAAGAATTTAGGAGGAGAAAATGGAGGAAAGTGGTATGCTAGTGAAGAAAGCTTGAGTTTTGCTCCTTCTAAACGAAAGAGTGATCTCGTGTTGACTCTTCTCTCTCTCTTTTCTTCTAGTCAGCATGTTCGAGGCCCTCTGCTTCTTTGAGCCATCCCACTGGAAGGGTATCAGCTACGCTGGGGGAGGGCTCAACACCCACCATGACAACCAGTGCGCCATCAAGGTACTCTTCTTCCTCCTTGCTTATCGCTGTCTTTCTACGATTTTCTCCTCTTTTCTCATTTATCCTTCCTCCTTTCTCGTCTCTCGCTTCTCCCACTGATACTTCCCTTTCTTCATTTTTCCTCGTTCTGCTCCTGCTCCTACATCGGCTGTCGCGTCATCCTCCTGCCTCTCTGATCCTCTATACAGTACGGCTCCTCTGAAAGGGACAGGGTCATTCCCATGACCTCCAAGGTACGTCAACCCTTCTCAGTCTTAGATCCTCTGCGTTCGTGCCCCTGCTCTTCCTCTCCCCCCCTCCCCCCACCTCCACCCCAAATCTTCCCCTAACCTTGTCCGCTACTTTCCTGCTCCTTGTCGTGCTCTTCGAACGTTAACTGCCATCCACTCTCTTCTTTTCCTTTCCCTCGTCCTCCACTTGCTAATTGCTCTTTACCCCTCTCGCCCGCGCGGGTTCCTGGTGACGCTCCCGCAGGAGCTCGGGTACGCAACCCCTGAGAAGTTCATGCTGGGGCACGGCAAGGAAGGCATGTGGGCAGGAGCCAAGGGACCCCATCCAAACTTGTAAGCTCAGATGTGTACAACAGAGATGTGAAGATGAAAAAAGGAGGGAGAAGTGGAGAACGAGGATGAGGAGGAGTCCTGGGGTTCTAAACCAGTCTCCCGTTCCTCCGGCTCTTCTCTTGTGCCAATGGGACCGGGAGAACGAACTTATCGGCATACAACCAGTATCAATAACAGCCCATCGTCCTCTCCCTAGGTCTCCCTTCTCCTCCTTCTTTCCTCCTCAGTCTCCTTGCTTCTTTCACTTCTCAGCTCCCTGCCTTGCTCCGCCTGCAGCTCTCACTGCTTCATCTTCTGGGCCCTCTCGGCCATACGGCTGCGGCAAGCGCGTCAGTTCGATCCTCCACCCTCTCGCCTCACCGCTGCTTCTCCTGCAACCACGCAGCCTTCTGCTCTTGGTCGATCTGCGCGATCTCACGCAAGAAATCGCATTTGGGACCCTGCGGGAGCAACTCAGGAGGAGGATGACAGGGGAAAGTGAAGAGAGGAGACGGAAGGAGGGCCCCTGAGCAAGGGGAGCGAGGAGAGGAGCGGGAGAGGAGGACGGCAGGGGAAGAGAGGTGAGGTGCAGGGAGATGGGGAGCGGGAGCAGAGGAGAAAGGGTAACCAGGATAGTGAGCTTCTTCATGGCTTCATGCATGAGTTCATCCTGCAGCTCATGTCAACAAGCACAAGAGTAGTAGCAAGCAGGAGGAGGAAGAGGAGGAAGAAGCTGAGGAAGGGGAGACGACGACGACGAGAAGGAGCGAGGAAGGGGGTGAGGAAGAGGGTGAGGAAGGCCGCAAGAGCAATGGACGAGGAGCAGGAGGGGAAGGTGACCCTCTCTGAAACGGTCTTCTTAATAGCAACATCTGGCGGGGTGTCCTTATCTCCTCCTGCAGTCCCATATGAGATCAATCCATCCTTGCTGCTGCTGCTGCTGATCCGCCACCACCAGCAGCACCAGCACCAGCACCAGCACCAGCACCAGCACCTACTGTGCGCCATCTTCCCCTCCCTCTCTCGATCCCCCCTCTCCTTCTCTCTTCTCACCGTCTGGTCGTGGATACATGCGGCGCTGAGACTCGGGAGGCTTGGGGATGATGGCACCACTCTTCTTGGCGATTCTTACCTGCAGAAGATGAGGAGAGGCAAGAAAGGAGCAGAGCAGGACAGGAGGAAAGGAGGGGGAGATGAAGATGAGGAGGAAGAGAACGAGGGGGTAAAGGAAGGGAAGGGGGAGGAGGAGGAGGAGGAGGAGGAGGATACGAAAGAATGAAGGTTACTTTGGTCCCATCCTCCAGGAAACCGAATTTGACGCGCGTCGGTACTCTGGAAAAGGTTGAGAGTTTGAAAGAAGCGACAGCAAGGCAGAAGGATACGAGGCATGT